GCCGAGCTCTGCCCGGCTTCCCCCGCCGCGGGGGACGCCCGCTGCCTGCGCGGTGACCACGGGTGACGGTGCCACGCGCTCTGGCATGGCACAGCGGAGCATATCCGGGTATTAAAATTTCAAATGACACGTAATTAGCTCAAAGTGGGGACGCTCAGTAGAAAAGACACCTTAAGAAGTAATTAATTTTTTCTTCCGGAGATTAGGAAGATAGGCCTTGTTGGCCCCGTGTGCCTGCAGGCACAGGGCATCGCAAACATACACAGACGAGTAGGACGTCTGACACAAACGCACTGTTCCTTTTTGTCTGCTCACTTCTAAATCCACAGGATTTTCTCCGCTTTTTTTCAGAGGTTTGGCCTTTACAAAGACAGAGTTGGAAAGAAACTTAATACTTTTGTTCTCCTTGTGAACAGCATAAAAGTACCGGGTTTCGGGAAACTTGAACTTGAGAATATGATAAATCGGAAAGTGCTTGTGTCACGGTTACCCTTTTTCTCTGCTGGGTTCTGTTGCCTGGACTTTTGGTAACTCTGCAATGTTACTTGGTTATTTTTAGTGGTGACGTAGTAGATATAATGGAAGAATCTCGTCAGGAGCTAGCCAAACTGATCAAGGGAGGTAAAAGCCCTCTAGTGGCATGAATTCCATTGTGCTTGAGCAATATTTATTGTTTCCTGTGGACGGAGTGCAGCAAATACATGGGTTTTTAGAACGATTTTTCTTTGGATTAAGATCAAAGCTTCAGAGCTTTAAAAAAATTCCCTGTTCAATATAAGTGTTTCATTGAACTCTCTTTTTCAGATTCAAAATTTTTAGTACTGTCCCAAGTACTCAGAACTGCACACACAGACACTTCCCTTTGCTACGTGTTTTGCCCTTCACTGTTGTAGAAACTGTTAATTTATGGTCTTGACTTCTGAGCAACACCTTAGAAAAATTCTGCTTGATCTCTGACTGTTACTTCTGCTTATTTCCTAGAATGGTGAGAACTTCTGCATTCTGGATGAGCAGAGATTTGCTAAGGAGCTACTCCCCAAGTACTTCAAACACAACAATATCTCCAGCTTCATACGACAGCTTAACATGTGTAAGCACCAGCTGTTCTTATGTATTCTTTCTGCCAATTTCATTGCTACTTGGCATCCATTTGAATTTCTTTACACAAACTGAGTAACTTGGCAGGTCTTTCATCCCTTAAAACCTGAATTCTGAGTTTGTTTTGCAAAAGAAAAGAAGAACAGTAGAGCTTGGCTTAGTCTGTTTTCTGTGTTTCAGCTCTAAGTCACTTGCTCTTTGAGCAACTGCTGTAAAAAATACTGTTTGATGTGCTGGTACCTAAAGCTTGGCTAGAGTTCACTGGGCTCCAGTGGTAGTGTTAATGGTAATGGTGACAGCAAACTTATGCATACCTAGGGGAACAAAGGCCATATCTACACCCATACATCTAGTATATGGAAAAAATGGCCTAGAACATACTGTTGTGTGCATTGCTGTGTTGAAACAAGATTAGTCACGCTGATGGGTCGAGCTGGACTAAGTGTGATTGTGGTTTTGTGCTGGACTTGTGAGCATCATGTAGCATCCATTATATAACACGTACAACTTGTACAGACAAAGAAGCTGGAGTGAGGTGGCAGTTCAAAGATACAATACCATGTACAGGTCTGCAACAGCAGAAATAGTTGTTTTGCAGCAGATAGCTTATGGGCCGAGGGAAGGTACAAACTGCATGGAAGGTGGCTGCCTTACTTAGAATTTCCATTCAGAGTAAAAGGGAGGAAGGCTCTGCCCTTGCGCAGTAGGTTCGCTTGGTCTCTCTAGCTGGTGCCTGTTTAGATTTTTGTCAGGCATGAGAGAGAAAGCATACATTTAGCTTCTTGACACAGGATGGATGCTGCTGTTTTTGTCAGGTGTTGAGACTCCATCACTTGGGTGTCAAAGGATAATGCAAACATACGGTTGTCAGTTGCCTTGTAGCAAGGGTGAACACTAAAATGTACCTGTTCCTGTGAAGATACGCAGTGCGATGGCAGCTTCTTTTTCCTGCTGGACCTATCCTAGCTTTGAGTAAAGTTTTCTAATGGTAGCACTGTTGAGGCACAGTGAAATGGGAACATATTAACTGTGGTAAAAACCTGAACAAGGAGAGAGACGGATTGGTGTGTCAACTGTATTTTGCATTTGTCCTGTGGTGCTCAAAGCAGTGATGGAAATAGAGCTGGCAATGTCTTATTTCATGCAGGTTGTCTGGCATGGAGAAAATACTCTGCTTGCATGTGTTTACATAGGCTGAGAACTAATTTCTCTTCCTTAGTTTATTCTGTAGACCCTGGTGGTATATGACAGCATTTGTTTTGATATGTAGTTGTCTGAGATTACAGGCATGAAAGGGAAGGTGCACCACTCCGTTGCTTCTACTTGGACAAGGTTTTATTCAAGAGGTCCTGATAAACCTCATTTCTAACTAACTGCTTTGATTATTTGGACATCACTGTTTTGCTTGCAGACACTAGCTGGCCTCTGCCACGCGTGCTGTTCATGCAGCTTGCAAGGTCATTTGATGGCATTGTGGACATGTTCTCTAGCTGTGAAATTTGGAGCAGTTGGAGCACCAAGGAAATGCTACTTTGGCTGGTTTTCATGCTTACTGCTCCCAGTAGCTGTACTGCTGTAGGTATTTCAGTAGCCTCGGGGTTTTCTGTAGCTGTGTGTTTTAACAGGCAGCTTTGTACTGAAAGAAATAACTTTGTAATACCTCTCCACAGATGGTTTCAGGAAGGTGATTGCTCTGGAGAATGGTATGATTACAGCAGAGAAAAGCTCAGTCATTGAGTTCCAGCACCCTTTCTTCAAGCAAGGGAATGCACATTTACTGGAAAACATCAAGCGCAAGGTACAGTCTAAGCGTGTATTTACTTCACTTTTTTATGAGAAGTAGCTTATCAAGAACATGGCTGGGGATTCAAACACTTTAGAGCCAACACATTCCATGGGAACCAAGATTGTGCATCATGATGCAAAACTTTGTAACTCCCTCCTGAATGCCAGGCTAATGCTTGGCTTCGTGCCAGCTCTTAGGCAAAACACACCCTGCCCTTGGTTAGCTGGAGTAGGACCACGTTCTTCAGACCTGTCAAACTAGAGCCCTTTTTCCACAGAGTTGATGAACCCGATTACAGCTTAGCATGGTCTCCGGTGCTGCCAGCACAGCAGAGTTGGAAAGAGTTACAAAGTGAAAGAAAATACATTTCCATTAGGTGCTTACTGAAAATTATCAAGGCCATCAGTAATCATTTCATTTAGGCAAGTTTGCATAAATTACATTGTTCCTCCAAAGCTAATGTTGTCACTAAGCTACATCTTATTAGCACTTCCCAGTTTTCTTTTGTACATTCAGGCCTTGTCTGACCTGTTTCTGCACAGATATTTATCCTCTATTGGCACATTACAGTCCATAATATTCTGCCTGCCAGAGAAAGAGAGTATCATGATACATCATGTTGACATTTGAACTGCAGAATCTTCTCTTTAGAATGTCATAATATGGTAGCTACATTGCCCAAGTTAATAAAAGCACAGGGTAGGCTTGAGAGTCACAATTGTGTTTTGATTGATTCTTCACTGGGCTGTCTCTGCTCAGAATCACAGTTGATTAAATATAGTTGTACAGTTCCTTCTCTGACTCAGGCCTGTGCTCTTCCCAGATGCTGTAATCACTAACTTGTCTTGGCTTGCACACCTTGCTTTCCGGTATTTTGGTGCAGTTGGCTGATGACGTTATGTACGGCACCATGTGTCTCGGGAATGTTGCACTGGGTGGAGTATTCTAGATGGAAAGACAAAAGCTCTAGTTAGTGCCAAGGACATTCATATGAGACTATTGAATAGGTTGGTGAAATACATTCTTTGTTGCATGGGAAATGTTAGTGATTTTTTGCAAAACATCCATTAGTGCTCTTTTACTGTCTGGAATGGAGTCAGATTTCAGTACTTGGTATAAACTGGATTTCAAGCCTCTAACAGGAATGCAGGTTTGAATGCAGGACTTCATTTATTTACTCCCTTTTAGTGTTAGCTCTGCTGATGTGCTTCAGTCTTGACACCCTTATTACCTATTTGGAGACTCTGAAGAGAGCAAGGCCTTGCACTTGAGCAGAATGTTTTAGTTTTACCCTGTTTTTTAGAGGCAGGCTGGCTGCATTTGACATTTCCACCTTCTGTCTGCATCTCTTGATTGTCTTCCCTATGGAGAGGTGGTGTGCTGAAGAGAAATCAGATGGCCATGAATTTCATTTTGGATACAGCTCATGTATGTTAGCATAAGGTATTATCTGTAACGAATAGCAAAGCATTTAAAAACATAGACAGGGAGGAGAGCTGTCAGGCCATTCAGTTCATCCTTTGTGATACTGGCTTATGTCAAGAAAGTAGTTATTTCTGCGGAGTGATTACATAAATTCCATTCTGTTTCATTACAAAGTGATGGAATGTTAATTTATAACACCGTAGGTCCTTTTCTGATCATCCCATTCCCCTTTGAAAAAAGGGATCTGTCAGCCAACCTGAATGGAAGTTACCCAGCACTTCAGCAAGCCCATCCCACATGCTTTCACTTCCCTCCTGGAATTCAGTAGAACAATAAGAAACATCATGGCATGCTGTAGGTTGGTAGGGACATCTGGTGGTGTTCTGCTGCAGTTCCATTTGGTTCAGTTCTGGTCAGTATTTGGCTAAATGATTTTTAAAATTATGCCCACAAAACCTGGACATGTCATTCAGACATGTGATGTGCCAGACCTATCTTTTTTGAAAATCCTGAGTTGTATGTTAACCATCAATACCACCACCACAGAAAGTTGCTGAAGGAACTGGAAAATGTTGAATGTGGAAGTGTGTGGAGGAGAGAGTGACCTTTAACTTTTTGATGCCTCTTCCACCGTTGTTTGAAGAGGTGGCATTCATGGATTCTTCTGTGGACACAAGAGCAGTTTGGACTCTCACTTTTTGAAGACAAATCTCCATAATTTTGGAATGTCGCTGAGCAGACAGGTGATAGAGGAAACACCAAACATGGGAATCTGCAATTCAGGTGTTGTGGGACGAACTTTTAAATCGAGTAGGATGCATCTAATTAGATACCTTTCTCTCCCTGCCATGACACTCAGTAACTTAGTGGAAATTTGTTACTCCTATGCTGGCAGATTTACTCACACCTAAGAGGAGTACAATCATCTTGTTCTCACTCCACTGTCAATTCTTTTTGGTTTTGGCTGGTGTCTTACTCTTTGACACTAGAGGGCAAGCTGTCACCAGACCTGTCAAGGAGAACCCCCTAGGGAAGGCCACTTTCAATCACTGTTAGGTTTTTATTACCAATTACAATGGTGAATCTACTGTCTACATGTACAAAGTGCTAATCTCGTGTTTTCATTGACATCTTGGGGTTTTTTTTTCATATGGTGTGGACTGTCCTAAGGATTGTCATATACAGCAATTGCAGCAGTTGTGATACCTAAGAACTACAGTGTTACCTAATCTTTTAACGGAGTTTGTGCCTGTTCTTCTACAGACTAACTGCACTGTTCCTGTAGAAAGGAGTATGCAAGGTGCTGTTCGTAGTAAAGCATGTGTAACCTGGTCCTGTTTTAGGTATCAGCAGTAAGAACTGAGGATCTCAAGGTCTGCACAGAGGATTTGCACAAAGTACTCTCTGAAGTCCAAGAAATGAGGGAGCAGCAGAACAACATGGATGTCAGACTGGCTAACATGAAGAGGTAGACTCTGTCTGTTTGAGGCACTTATGCATTGAATGCTGCTTATATCTAAATGGAGCTTGACTGTAAATCTGGGTTTCAGTTGAACTGGAAACAGGTGAAGCTATATTTTCTTCTAAGAATCCCCATTCCACCCCACACAACATTCTGAATCTTGTTTGGTTTATAGTTCAGTTGCAGACCAGAAAATAAGACTGGGAGTTTGACTATCTTGAGATTTCATTTTGGTTGCCATCACCTGTAGTAGATTTTTAGGGTGATCAAAGCATTTTTTTTTAAACACAAAACAGGGTTAGATGCAGCAAAGACTAATTAGTATTTGGTTTTCTTTCTAATTGGAAGTGTACTTTGCATGTCCTCTTCCCTCAGATCCTTTTTGTATCCACCAAAGTTCAGGACATACCTTCACTCCACTGTTTCTTTAAAAAAACCCAAACCAACAACAACAATAAAAAAAACCCCTCAAACACAAACTTTGAAACTCTTTTGAGATGGTCTGTTTTACACTCAGCCTGTTTCCAAATGCCAAGTCTTTATTCTAAGGCTTTGAAGGAATACCTCAGATCAAGACTATTGGTGGAGCAGCAGAGGATGAGAATGTCCTCATTAGTGAGTGTTTGGTCCTGCCTGATGGAAAATAGAGTTCATTTAACCCAGGGTTTATGCTAGTGGATCTAATTAACTGATTGTTAGTTATCCATGGAAGGAATGTTGCCATTGGTCCTGCAAGGTACTGTGAAAGTTTGAAAGTATATAAAGTAAACTCTGTTCATCCTCTGTCTTCTGATTTATTCTGCATTGCAGAGAAAATAAGGCCCTGTGGAAAGAAGTGGCAGTTCTAAGGCAGAAGCACAGTCAACAACAGAAGCTGCTGTCTAAGGTACCATTGCAGCATCTTCAGTGCTACCATCCTTATTCCTGCCTCTGTGGTACTCGATGGCATTCTTTGCTTATGTAGAATGACAAATGACACAGAGCTGAACAGGCTATATTAACACGGCACACAGAAAATGTTCACAGTTCCTGAGTGTCCCAGAAGTAGCACAGCAAAGAACCACGAGCAAAATACTAAGGAAAAGTCATAGTAAAGATTTCGATGTGTTTGAAATCTCAGTGAATCTTATTTGGAGAGAAATCAGTAAATCAAGCTGACCTGGGGTAAATGTGGGGCTGGAGACAGTGCATGGTAACAGGAGCCTAAAACAAGAGATTGCAGGCACATGGAATGGAATCTGTGAAAGATCTTGGACCAAGACAGACTTAGACCACTCAAGAAGTCAACTTGGAACCCAGAAGCTATAGGAGCTTCTGCACTGGAACAGATTTTCTCTGGTTTATCCCTCAGCTGTTTCTGGTCTGGAATCCTCTAGTGACTTGTGGTATTTTGCATTATACAAAAAAAAGTCCAAGTGAGATATTTTTTCAATGCCATTTGTAACTATCATTTTGTTTTTAAGGTATGAACACAAATGGATTTTTAATTTACCTGTTAATTTCAATTCCATAACTACATGATTTTGTAATAAGATCTAAGTAATTTAATGTTAGAATTGCTATGCTGACCACTTGGTTTTGGTTTGTGTTTTTCCTTTTTAGATTCTTCAGTTTATACTGAGTTTGATGCGAGGAAATTATATTGTTGGGGTCAAAAGAAAAAGGTAATTACTGGATAGGTCACAAATCGGTGTCAAGGGTAAATTATAGGGGTAAAACAGCTTCTGGGAGCAAGATACTTTTAAAGTGTATGAAGAATATTTTTATTACTTGTATATTCACACTTGAGAAAGCTGAGAAGTTGAATAAACATGAAATAAAGACTTCCTCTTCTTTATTACTAAAAAGAAGAAGGGTGTGAAGAGACTATGCATCTTAAATTTTGAAGGGCACAGTTTTCAGAAATGGTAACTCTTTCAAAATGTATGAATGTGGCTGACTTACTCAAAACAAAAAGCCTGTTCAGAATGCAGCCTGTCTGCAGTACACATAGTAGAAAACATTTCCAAAAGCCAGTTTTCTTACAAGTGGAAGAATGATTGTTCTTACCATTCCTGCACGTTTTTGTTATTGCTATGGCGTTTTACCATGCAACTACCCAGTAAAGCCACGTTTTTGTCTCAGGTCTCTAACAGATGCTGCTGGGGCTTCACCTTCCAAATACAGTCGTCAATATGTTCGCATACCTGTGGAGAGTGGCCAAGCGGTAAGTCTTCCCAGGGAAAG